TTATCAAATTGCTGCTTTCAATGCGCAGATCTAATCTCATCGCGTCCATCCAGGCCAAAACAGAGCCTCTTTGCATGTGCTGTTGGTAGGATCGCTCCTTCAAGCCCACATCACAGGCGGTGAAACGGCGTCTTGCAGGTCCCCGCCTGGTTTTTGAATACGTTATTTATAGCTCAGCTATTTTCCTGTTCTCTCCATCAAACACGACTCCTACAGAGTGCAGGGACAGAGCGGTTTCGCAGAGCAAGTGCTAGGGGAAAAAATACAAGGCTTGGAGAGAAGGGAGCTTCCAGCCTTGCCCTTGCGTTATCCAACCCGATACCCATCCCGAGCTGCCTCTGAGGGCATTGGGCACCAGCCCAGTCCACCTGAGAAATCACAACTTTCTCCAGAAGAGTCTAATACATGGTTTTAATCCCCCAGACACCAGGAGACAAACGCTCTCCTGCATCGTATGCCGTCTGGGGCCACGAAGCCCCTGGCTAAGGAAGCATGATCTGGACTTTCCAGAGCCCTGCCTTCTTACTCAGCCTATGGCAAAGCTTTCCCTGGCGCTGGCTGCTGCGAGCTATGCAGGAGGTGGCCCCAGGGCTGCTGCTGGCTCCCCGGGGACGCTGTGTCTGGCATGGGCCATCTCTGAGCGCTCCAAAGCCAGCTCGCTCCGTTGGGATTTACTCTATGTCCATGCCCAAGGGCTTTGACATGCGTGTGGCCGATGCTCATCATGACCACAATGGGCTGCTGGCAGCAAAACCTTACCTGGCCGTGCTTCTCACGCGCCCTTCCTCCTTGCCACCGTCCTCATCCTCATGGCGAGCCTCACGCTTCCCCCTGCGATGCGCGTCCTCCCGCTGCTGGAATTGGGACAGGCGGCACCGGCTCGGCCGGATCCGGCACCGGTCCCCATGGGACGCCCACCCGGACCCACTTCCCAGCACTCCCCGTGGGCTGCGGGACCGGGAAGAAGCCACCGAGCGCCCGGATCACCCCACGCCGGCAGCGGAGCGGCACCTGCGCAGCCCGTCGCTGCATGGGCATCTCTCAGAAGAAGGAAGCAAGGAGGAAGCTTTTCCATGGCTCTCCAAACGCTGTCTCATCCGATGTCCCCACAGCGGCTGCGGCTCCGTCCAGCCGCCTCTCGCCACCCCCGAGCGCCCTTTGGGCTGCGGAGGAAACTTTGGGAAAGGCGCCTGGCCGGGATGCCGGCGGCAAGGAGGTGCTGGAGCTGCCTCCGCCTCCCGCGGTTGCTCTCTGTGATTAATCACTCTCTCCGTTTAAATATTTATGCCTTATTTCCAACGAGTCTGGCTACAGCTTCCAGACGGTGAGTCTCATCGTGCTTTTCCCTGCTCCATTAACGAGCTTTTGGGTCCCAGGTAAGGTTCTCCCTGCTCTATCAGGGTGTTAGGTGCTTTAATTAAGCCCCCAACTCCCTCTTTCTCTCTCCCTTCCATCTGACGCTAATTCCTCATCCCGAGGAGGACGGGAAAACGCTCCAGTCTCCAGCCAGGACTTCTCGGTGCAACAAGGTTTCCATTCAGCTCTAAGGACACCGCTGCTCGTCAGCCTGCTCCGGATGCCGTTAACACTGTCCTGACCCGCGTGCCATCCCCGGGCTTTTCCAGAAACCATCTGCATCTCTCCCGATTACTATAAAAGAGCAGAAACTCCCCCCTAGCAATGCCCAGCAGTGGGTGAAAACCCCCTCCGACAGCTGCCTTTGCTGCAGATTGGGTTTATTTAATATTTAATAATCCAGGCTTCCTTGTCATGGTGTCACGTCACCTCTAACTGCCACAGAGCCTCTTTTTAGTCCCATATAGTGCAGAATTTAGCAGAAATATCACATTGCATAACTCAGATGCCTTTACCCAAGTGTAGCAGAGCCACGCAGTCACCCCTCTCAGTAGGAAATGAAATCACTCCCGCCTGATGAGGGTTGTTTTCCATGGAGCCACGAACATTAGGAACAACATTCATGCCGTGCAGCAGGTCTTTAATCAATCAAACCCTGTGCCAGGTATCTCCTCATTTTCCCCAGGGAGGATGGCATCAAGCCAATCAACCTGTAGCCACCAGGTCATCCTGCTCCCTCTCGGGAAGAGCAGCGACACCATTAAAGCACTTTTTAATCTTCTGGAATTTCCCGAGGGATTATCCCAGCGTAGACGCCCGCTCCGCAGGAGCGCGTGTGCAGGCGGGTGGGATTTTGGCTGTAACCATCCCGCAGCTACGAGCAGAAAAAGTATTTCTCCGGGTTCCGATTTGAAATGTCCTTTTTTGTGTGTTTTTCTTTTTAACGGAAACCACGCAGACTTGCAGCCTGGCCATAATGGAGCAGCCCAGGCGCTCCAAGCGGAGGGAGAGGCCGCCCCGGCGCTGCAATATGGAATGAATTACAACTCGGAGAGGAAATGAGACCGCTCCAGGCTCGGCAGCTCCGAGGGCGAGTCCTGCCCGGCGCCCGTCCTGCTTCCCTGCCTCCCTCCCCGCAATTTCGCATCCAGCCTCTGCTTTCGAGACCGGCATTTTATCACCCCTGTTTTATCTGTCTAATCTAGGGACAGATCCGAGGCCGATAATGTCAGTGCCAGCCTGGCTGCTGTCTTTAGCCGGATCAGGGCTGGTAAACTCCTTACTGTGTTATTATTAGCAGCAGCCGTTCTGCAGTAGCACCCCAGACCTGTGTTAAAACAGGATGCTAAGGCAGTTCCAGCCCTGCAAAGCGCAAGTTTTTTCCTAAAAGCAGCTCCAGCTCTGCAGATTATAACAATTTGGGACCCGGTTCTGCAGAGAACAGGCTCCACTCAGGGAAGCTGCAGTCCTCTTAGCACTTCTTTTCTTGCTGTTTTCATTATTTTACAGGGTCTTTCGAGCTGCCAGCACGCATCAGCTCAGTGGTAAGGCGCGAGTACAAATGATAGCCCTGTGCTGCACACCTCTGCTCTCAGGCACGCAAGGAGCAGCTTAAAGAGAGGGTTTGCTTTCAGCTGCCTTTTGAGCAGCTGGGTCTCAGTAGGCTGCCTAATTATAAGATCTTAGTGGTATTTTCTTTTTTCTTTTTTTTTTTCCCAGCGATAATTAACTGCTCTGAAGAACCCTGAAAATAGGCACTTGGAAAGCAAGTGACAAACTCCCCTGAGTTTTCTCCGTGGCGGTTACAACTCTGCAAGAAACTGCTCCTTGCCCATTAGACATGGATGGTTCCATCACCTCCATGTCAAGACCAGGGATCCTGGGCAGTCACAAGCAGGTGAAATAGGGAGCGCGCAAGGGGAGAAGGAGGGCAAGGAGGGAGCGCACAAAGGGAGCGGGAACCCAAGGGGGCTGCGATGGGAGAGGGGTGCCCAGGTGCCTCCTGCGCCCGCTGCTGTTTGCAAGGCAGGGCTGGTCACCCAGGGCAACCACCAAGCCCCAACTCTGCTTGTTTCCTGGCCCTACTTCCCAAGGGGATAAAAACAACTCTTCCCATCCGCTGGGAAGGGGGACCGGCTGGATAGACCCCAGGAGAAGCTGCGGGAGCGGCTGGACAGACCCCAGAAGAAGCTGTGGGTGGCGGGACCGGCTGGACGGACCCCAGGAGAAGGGGGCGCGGGGCTCAGTGCTAGTGAGCAGAGAGACCTCGATCCGCGGTGACGCTGCAAGGGGGAGAACCCAAGAGAAGGGGACACCCGGACTGGCTCCATCCGCGCCCCCTCCCCGCGCAAGGTACTCACCGTGCGGGGCCAGCTCCGCGCCGGGACTGCAGTGCACGGAGCAGCGCGCGGAGCAGCGCAGGGAGCAGAGAGCGCGGAGCAGCGCAGGGAGCGCGCAGCAGCGCAGCGCGCACGGAGCAGAGCGCGGAGCAGCGCACGGAGCGGGCAGCAGCGCAGCGCGCACGGAGCAGCGCACGGAGCGCGCAGCAGCGCGGGGAGCGCAGCGCGCAGCGCAGCGCGGCAGCACCGCGGCGCCCCCCCGCGGCCGCCCGCGGAGCCCCGTCCCTCAGCGGGGGCACCGCGGGTTTTAGCACAAGGAGCGTTTGGGAGCCCGGGGCACGTTCGCGGGGAGAATCCCCCCTGTCGCCGTCACCCTGGTGGGTGACAAACCAACCGGTGATGCGCTTGGCGCCCCATGACCCTTTGGGAATCGGAATTCCCAAATCAATTCCGTGATAGCAAAGCCCAGGCGGGATGTGTCCCAGCGGGGCAGGATGACATCCCACCCTCTGCCAGACGCGACGGGGAGAAGCCACAGGAGACATGGAAGTGACAGGTCAGGTTTTGGGATGAAATCAGCAGCCATGCTTGCGGGCAGGGAACCTCCCCAGGTGTGTGGAGATGCCGTCGGTGCCAGGAGGATCGTGATGACAGAGCGAGACAGCCGGGGGCGAGGTGCAAGGGAGAGGGCAGCGGGTGGATGTGCACAGCCCGGGGCATGTTCCCAAGGAGGCAGCCGCCGTCTGGCAGGCTCCTTGCACGGGATCGAATCTCGTTTGTCCGGGAGGAGCCAGCGGCTGTAGGAGAGGCCAGGGAGCCGGTGGACAGGGGTGCATCTGGGCACGGTGCCTTTTGGGTCTGTGTTTCTATCAAATGCAGGCTCGGGCACTGCAAGGACAGAAACGACAGGCCAGGGCAGGAGCCCAAACTGCCTTGGCGAAGAGCTTGAGACCCTTCAGCTGGACTGCTTGAACAGGATGGCTGGAAGCAGCAAACTCAGCAAGTTCTGGTTTTCCCCAAGGAAAACGCCTGGCTTGGAGACCACCCCAGACCTCAGCAAGGCTCTGGTCCTTCCATCGCTCAGCCCAAATTTTCCCCCCAGCCGCTGGCTCCTCTGGCCATGCCGGCCTCTCCTTCCCTGCTGAGCCGCCAGGACCGGCTCTGCCTGGCAGTTGCTCCCTGCTTTATTGTCCTTTGAACGATGCCAGGTAGCAAATGGCCTTGGGTTTCTTTGCAGGTCCTTCAGGAGAACTGGTTTTCCAGCAGGCAGCAATGAGGTATCTCGAGGTTTTATTTCATTTTGACTCCACAGGAAACACTTCTCCCCAATACTGTGTTAAATATAAAGCACAAGGAACAGGATGCTCAGAGCATCACTCGAATCCTCGCTCGCGGCCATCCTGAACGTTACAGTTCATTTAAAATTAGTATAAAATGGGATGACAGTCAGATAATGTTCCCACTTCCCCCTTCCCGCCCCCCTCCCCATGCATTCCAAGGAGAAGACTCATAAAGCGAGAGAAGACGGAGAACGGATCAGCAGCAGGGACCTCCACTCGGTGCATCGAGGGTCTCTGCAAAACGGCTGGATTTCAGAGCAGGGCAGTGACGGTCCCGAACGTCCCGGCAGGTCCAATTCCTGCAGCTGCTTCTCGGAGCAGCTTTGCGCCCGTTTCCCAGGCAGGGGAGCTGAGGCACAAAGAGGGTCCTGACTTGCCAGAGCGCCGCTCCGTAGCAAAAGTGTCGGCCCAGGGTGTGGGTCCAGCCCCAGATCTGCTCCCCCGACAGCCGATCACTTCACAGCTTCCTCATCCTCTCAGGCCAGTGATGTTGAGACCGAAGGCAAAGCAGCAAGAACTGAGTCCTGGAGGGTGACATCTATCTTGCACAGTGCACCCCGCTCTGCTCCGGACCCATCACCAGCCCCGACCCTGCAGTGCTGCAGGCTCCTCCTGGAAACCTGGGCAGAGGGAAGGGGCTGGAAAGGAGATTTCCTGCAGCTCAGGTGGGTGGGAGACGTTTCCATCTCAGCAGGAGCCGTGACTCTTTTTGCACAGTTAAAACGAAGCTGGTGATGAGTGTTTAGGACTCTGGGGATGCACGGCTCTGCTTTCAGCCTGCTCTCAGCTATCCTGCCGGGAAGATGCAGCAACACATGGCCCGAAGAGCCCGATCCCAGAGAAGAGCCCGTACCAGGGTTTGCAATCCCAGAAGCTTTGGGACTGCAGGGGGACCTGGCAGCGCAGGAGCAGCATTCCAGCTTCGCAGCAGACGGCACCTCGTTTTCCCAGTGCACAGAGCTTGGCTTTGGCAGGAGAGAGAGGAGCAGATTGAGCAAAACCAGCCCGCGGCCCCATCGAGGCCAGAAGCAGATGAAAGCAGCCTGTGTCCTCCGCTCCTGCCCTGGAAAACCCCACCATGGCGCCGAGCCATCCGCAGAGCCGCTCTGCTCCTCCAATGCACGGGGAGCCGCTCCGTGCTCCTGGATCTCTCCCTGGTGCCTGTTTCGTTGTTCCCTGCCAGCAGCAAAACCCTCCTGCCAAAGAGACCTGCTCCTGCAGCAGCAGCTTTTGGAAACCAGTAGCTGCCTTGAATCCACTTCTATATCTACCCACCACAACTGCCTCCCTCCTGCCCTCCGGATTAGGTGTCTTGGCCTGGTGTTCAAAACAGAAAGCTCCACCAGGTCTTCTTTGCCTTCACTGCTCATCTGCAAGCATCCTATGGATGCATCCTTTCCTTGTGGCAGACCTTGGAATACCAGGAATCCTCCCAGGACAGGAGGGTTTAATCTAGTGGTCAGCGGGAGATGGGAACAAAACGAGGAAATACCAAATGGGAAAGGATAAGCCCTGTAATCCTGATTCAGAGAGG